ATATTAGTGTGAATGCAGACAGCTGTGAATGAAGGTAATTAGGCCACTATAGCTGCTGACTGGTAGCTCTGTGACACAGAGAATAAAGCTTTGGTTTGTCCTGTTGATTGAACTAAGAACTCCAGCTGTTGCACTCTGTGGGAGTGAAGGTCGAGAAGAAGACGGATGTTTGTTGTTTGTTTCGGTTACATGTTTCTGCCTGGATGGGAGAGCATCCACCTCAAGGATGGCTTCACATCCTTTGCCTACGAGGCTTCATCTGAGCTCCAAAATATGTGACAAGTCTCACACACAAACACAGACACGTATGTGTGTGTTCTGGTGCTTGGCTGAGCGCTTCGTGGCAGGATGGGCTTGTAGCGTGAGAACGGGGAATGATTCAGCAGATCCAGACTGCTGATGTTGTGGGTCTGACTAAAGTGATGCAGCTGAGAGCGGAGCGGGACAGCTGTCTCCGCCGCTGAGAAGCTGAGACGTGCAGACGCAAAGAGGATGACCCGTAAAGAGGTGCTGAGACTGGCAGGAGGATCTACGAGCCTCGTGTTTCATGTCCATCACTTGTAACGTGATGAGTTCCTCTGAGGACGTCACCCGTCTCTCTGCTCTCTTAGGCAGTTTCCTGTAATCATTGCTCAATATTGCTGTTAATCCAATCCAACTTTATTTATAAAGCACTTTTAAATTCCTCAATTACCACAGGACTTGAATAAAAACAATAAAAGCATTGAATACATACATCAAAATTAAAATAAGAGCTAAAAATGTCCATAATAAAAAAATAACCTTATTACAGGCTAACATCAACATCTCATGCAGTGTTATAAGCCGACTCTTTGATGCACAATGGAAGCTTGTTCCAGATTTTTGGAGCTGCCACAAAAAAGCAGCAACCCCCTGATTATTTAGATGCCTGAAGAAGCAGTTGATTGGCTGACCTGAGTGAAAGGGGGGTGCATGAAGGCGAATGAATTTCAAACATCTTTGATTTTCTCCTGATCGGGAGTTGCTCTTGAGAGGCTAATCGTCCCTCCTTACCCCGCGTATATTACACCATGCATGACGCACGATCAGGCAGAAAGTCGGTCCGATTGAAAAATTCTCGCACGACGGGAAAATCGGCCCAAAAAGGACAAAAAATTGTACAGCGTATGCCCGGCTTAATGTGTTGTTGTTTCCGAGTGCCAGATAAAAGACGTTCCGCAACATTTTGCTCTAACCCCCACAAACTGCTTTTCCTTAGATAGAAAACTTTGAATCAATCTGACTGGATGAGATGACGTGTTGTGAATTGGCGCTATAGAAATAAACTGCATTGAATAAAAGGGGAATGCCGTTTTTTTTTTTTTTTTTTTACATTGGTGTCTTGATTTCATCATGTTCTACTTACACATATGAGTTTTGTGTCATTTAGGGCCATTCTGAAGATATTCCGTTAGGAAGACTTTAATTCAATTAAATTCAATTCAGTTTATTTATATAGCGCCAAATTCACAACACATGTCATTTCAAGACACTTTAAAGTCCAAACAGATCATACAGTCAAATCGATTCAAAGTGTTCTATCTAAGGAAAACCAGTTGATTGCATTGACTCAAATGCAATCCCTCACACTAAGCATGCTTGTAGCGACAGTGGAGAGGAAAAACTCCCTTTTAACAAGAAGAAACCTCCAGCAGACCAGGCTCGGTGTGAGCGGCCATCTGCTGAGGCCGACTGCTTCTGTCTCCTTTAACACCAGAGACACAAAAAGCATCTGTAAAAGGCGGCTCCGTCCATGAAACACACAGCCAGGCAGACGAGCTCCGAGCCAGCTCCCACGTCAGAGGATGAAGAGAGCACATCCAGTTAGTCACAGTCAGAGAAACAGGACTACACTGGAAAACAGGCCAAGCTCCAACATCTAGAAACAAAGGTGTTGATGGCAGCAGCACAGCTGATATTTCTCTCCAGGATGGAGTCACAGCCAAACAGGAACAGACCAGATGAAGCTACTATGAGAAAAAGCAGAGAGAGCAGAACGTTAGAGATTGAACTAACAGATTCTGCAGAGTGGGAGAATAGAGATAGAATGAAGCAGAATGATGAAAAAGGGGTCCCTATGTCCTCCAGCAGTCTAAGCCTATAGCAGCAGAACTATAGAGATAGATCAGGATAACCTGAGCCACTCTAACTAGAAGCTTTATCAAAAAGGAAAGTTTTAAGCCTAGCCTTAAAAGTAGACAGGGTGTTTGCCTCACGGACTAAAACTGGTAGTTGGTTCCACAGGAGAGGAGCCTGAGAACTAAAAGATCTGCCTCCCATTCTACTTTTAGAAATTCTAGGAACCACTAGTAAACCTGCAGATTGAGAGCGAAGTGCTCTGTTCTAAACTACAATGCCCCTATGCTACTATGAGAAAAAGCAGAGAGAGCAGAACGTTAGAGATTGAACTAACAGATTCTGCAGAGTGGGAGAATAGAGATAGAATGAAGTAGAATGATGAAAAAGGGGTCCCTATGTCCTCCAGCAGTCTAAGCCTATAGCAGCAGAACTATAGAGATAGCTCATTTTACTTGGATATAACCTATGGGCAATGACTTGAAGGCACAAACCAAACTGTTCATCATTTATTCTTTATGGTACGCCAGCATTCGCCGTTATATTTGTTATATTTATATATTTTTAAAACAAAGTGGAGTGTGTATGACGTCATCCTCATGCACCGGCTACCATTCATTCTTCCTGTCCACTGAACTGCTGCTAGTTTTCCTCACATGCCTGGAAGATGTCTAGCGCTACTGCCACAGCTGATCTCGCTCTCCAGATGGAATTGAACGATTCAGATTAGCTAAAATGAATAGAAGGGATAGAGCGTAGCTGCCTGTGGCCTGGGCTGCCTCTTACGACTCCAGTCTGGCGCGCGGATGACGTCATAAACGCTCCTGCCAGAGTGGCGGTGCAGATGTAGCCCATCTTCCCTCATTGTTTTATAGGGATGGGAATCGAAAACCGGTTCCTGTTCAGAACCGGTTCCGTATTTTCCGATTCCATGTCATCGTTTGGCAGCTCGCTGAACGATTCTTTTTTCGATTCCCGCAGCACCAGAGCCTACAGCGCCGGCTCTGGGGAGCACGACTTACGTCACGTTTTTTACGTAAGTTACGCAAGTTACGCAAGTTGGAAGAACTATTCGAGGAGGAAGACAACGAGCTGCGGTCACTTTGTGAATCAAAGCCCCGTCTTTCCTTAGCCCAGAGGGTAGATCAGGAAATCCAGCTCTATAAAAGCTTGCCCTCCATCCCCTGCAGGGATAGCGCCACACTGTGGTGGTGGAACAAGCAAGATACGCTGCCCTTGCTATCTGGACTGGCTGTAAACTACCTCTGTGTGCAGGCTTCCTCCACCCCATCTGAGAGGGTGTTCTCCACGGCTGGAGACACCATAAGCGCTGAAAGATCCCATATCCTTCCAGAAAAAGCAGATATGCTCATCTTTCTGCAAAATAACTGTTAATTTTCCCTACTACTGTTTTATAATTAGTATTTTTTGTTATTTAAAATTGGTTATTATCCCATCATTTGTTATTAGACATTGTTGGTTATTAAGTTTGTTCTTGTATTCATTTTTCATTTAAACACAGATGTTACTCCAGTTTCACATTTCCTGTGGACATCTTGATCTTGTTGATTTTGTAAGATTGTGCAATAGTTAAGTAAACAAAGTTGATGCTGATAATCAAACTGTTTGTTTTCCTTTTTTCCCCAAATTGGAATCGAAAAAAGAATCGATAAAGAATCGAATCATTTCATAGAATCGAAAAGGGAATCGGAATCGTGAAAATCTTTTCAATTCCCAACCCTATTGTTTTAGGTAAATTGTTTTGTTTTTTTTAATCAATATTGGGAAATAAAAAATCGATATTAAATCGGGCACCCAAAAATCACGATATATCGCCAAATCGATTTTTCCCCACACCGCTAATGGAATTCCCATCTTGCTTAATGAAATGTAAATTTGTCTATCATCAGCGTGTCAATGGAAGTAAACACATTATTATTGAGCTAAGGGGAGGTAGATAAAGAGCAAAAACAAGAGTGCCTCAGACTGAGCCCTGTGGCCCCCCACATAATAAGGGAACAGTTTGTGAATTCATCTTTTTTTCTGTTACACAGAAGAATGCTTAAACTAAAAATTTGTTATTTTTGTCATTATGTAATTTATTATGACTTTTCTTTTACTGTTGAAAAGGTTGGTGATGAATATTTTACCAAAGGAGATCCCTCCATGAAATGTTTGGGAGCCACAAACAGATGTTGTTGTTTAAAAACTTTTTTTTTTTTTTCCTGATTAAAAACAAGAAAAAAAGTTTGATTTAAAACATGTAAATTTAACCAATAAAGTTAAAACAGAAGCTTGAAAAGCTGGCGGCTCTTTTTGAGCTCTGTATCTCAGTTTTGCAGCCGGGCACAGAAACCCCCCCCCCCTCTTCCTCCCTCATCCTTTAAATTCACTCCAGACCCCAGTCTGAATCTGGACTCTGTGCTAAACCAAACATATGGAAGGCTACTGTCGGGGAATGTTCAGTCGGGTTTGTTTTCCCGTTGCGTGCGTGCGTGTGAGGGTTGCACATGTTTTTGAAGCAGATGAGAGCTTCTAGGATGTTGATGATGATTAAGATAATGGTTTTTGTGTGTGTGTGTGCGTATAGAAGTGCCTCTGCAGACCGCTGAATAGGGCCTTCTGTTGTCCTGGCCAAACATTGCCTGTCTGCTCATGCATGAGTGTATTGCAGAGCCTCTGAATGTGTCCCATATCTGAGCTGTTAGCTCATCCTTAGCCGGTTAGCTTGACTGTGAACAATTTCCCCTACAGTGCCTGCATTGTCAGCCCCGCCGCAGCCTCCAGCTCCTGCTAACTGCACCAGATGACACTGAGTGAAAGATGGCATGAATGTGTGTATTGATATGATGATGATGTGTTTTTTACTAACCACATGTCCTCTGTCTGTGTTTTAACCACAGGATGGAGAGTTTGTGGAGAGGAGTGTGACGTCCTGAAAACAGTAAGTCAAGTTTCTCATGGTTGTTCTTCCACTTCAGAAAAGAAAATTAAATTGCAGCGGTAAAAAAGTAAAAGAAAATTAAATTGCAGCGGTAAAAAAGTAAAAGAAAATTAAATTGCAGCGGTAAAAAAGTAAAAGAAAATTAAATTGCAGCGGTAAAAAAGTAAAAGAAAATTAAATTGCAGCGGTAAAAAAGTAAAAGAAAATTAAATTGCAGCGGTAAAAAAGTAAAAGAAAATTAAATTGCAGCGGTAAAAAAGTAAAAGAAAATTAAATTGCAGCGGTAAAAAAGTTAAAGAAAATTAAATCGCAGCGGTAAAAAAGTAAAAGAAAATTAAATCGCAGCGGTAAAAAAGTAAAAGAAAATTAAATCGCAGCGGTAAAAAAGTAAAAGAAAATTAAATTGCAGCGGTAAAAAAGTAAAAGAAAATTAAATTGCAGCGGTAAAAAAGTAAAAAAAAATTAAATTGCAGCGGTAAAAAAGTAAAAGAAAATTAAATCGCAGCGGTAAAAAAGTAAAAGAAAATTAAATCGCAGCGGTAAAAAAGTAAAAGAAAATTAAATCGCAGCGGTAAAAAAGTAAAAGGAAATTAAATTGCAGCGGTAAAAAAGTAAAAGGAAATTAAATTGCAGCGGTAAAAAAGTAAAAAAAAATTAAATCGCAGCGGTAAAAAAGTAAAAGAAAATTAAATTGCAGCGGTAAAAAAGTTAAAGAAAATTAAATCGCAGCGGTAAAAAAGTAAAAGAAAATTAAATCGCAGCGGTAAAAAAGTAAAAAAAAATTAAATCGCAGCGGTAAAAAAGTAAAAGGAAATTAAATCGCAGCGGTAAAAAAGTAAAAGGAAATTAAATCGCAGCGGTAAAAAAGTAAAAGGAAATTAAATTGCAGCGGTAAAAAAGTAAAAGGAAATTAAATCGCAGCGGTAAAAAAGTAAAAGGAAATTAAATTGCAGCGGTAAAAAAGTAAAAGAAAATTAAATTGCAGCGGAAAAAAAGTAAAAGAAAATTGCAGCGGAAAAAAAGTAAAAGAAAATTAAATTGCAGCGGTAAAAAAGTAAAAGAAAATTAAATTGCAGCGGTAAAAAAGTAAAAGGAAATTAAATTGCAGCGGTAAAAAAATTAAAGAAAATTAAATTGCAGCGGTAAAAAAGTAAATTAAATTGCGGCGGTAAAAAAAAGTTAACTCAAACAGTAAGAGGAACAGAAATTAATAATTCAAATTTAAATGAATATTTTAGAAAAGATCAAATGATCAAATAAAAAAGTGGGAAAGAAAAGGTAACAATAGTTTAGATCAAAGGCCACTTAGTCTTGATTTAAAGCATCTGGGGCAGGGGTGCCCAAGTCCAGTCCTCAAGAGCTACCATCCTGTAACTTTTATATGCATCTCTTCTCTAGCACACCTGAATCTAAAGCCTCAATCCCCCATTAGCTCATCAGAGGCATGGTAACGAGCCACTCATTTGATTCAGGTGTGTTAAAAATGGTTGCATGAAATACGTGCAGGATAGTAGCTCTTGAGGACTGGACTTGAGCACCCCTGATCTGGGGGTTTCAGTGTTTTTACAGCTTTCTGGGAATTTATTCCAGATTAGGGAAGGACTAAAAGCTGCTTCTCCATGTTTGGTTCTTGTTCTGCAAAGTAGATCTGATCCAGTAGATCTAAGAGGTCTGGCTGTTGATCCCCTGAAAACCAGTCTGTAATGTAACAGACTAACAGAAGGATTTAGTATTTTCTCTGAAATGTAGGAGTCAGTGGAAGGACTTAATCATTAAAGAAATAAAAGATTATGATTTTCGTTCCGATCCCTGAGTATGGGAGCGGCCATTTTTACCCAAATCTAGAACGCCTCACTCCTGACATCTTCCGGCAGTGACGTCACAATTATTGAAAATTTCCAGAGGACTTCACCGTTGAAATTCACCAGAGCTATAGTGAAACTGACAATGCCCACGTGCATGGCAGCTGGATGCTGGAATACATCGGGTAAAAGGGAAAAAAAAAGAGTTATTCCACCTTTCTGATTCCTGATCCTCCACGGACGGGTTGGTCGTTGGATCGCCAACTTGAAGAGGGAGGATTTGCCATCGAACTTCTGGCCAGAGAAAAAACCCGTAATATGTAGCCAACATTTGGAAGAAGAATGTTTTCAAGATGACTTGGATAATAGCGCGTTGTGACAAACACCAGATACAGCACTGGGACTTGATCAACAGCCGATACCGCACCGTGACGTCACTAACCAGTAGGTGGCAGTAGTGTTCTTTGACAAAGATGGATGCCTCCAGTAAAGCACATTCACATGAAAATGACTCTGAATTAAAAACACTAATCATTTATTGAACAGGATGGAATCATTTCAGATTTAAAGAACTTTCAGAAGTTTGAATTCTGAATATGAGCGGACTGTCGGGAGGGAGGTGTTACTATATTTGGGCAAAAATGGCCGCTCCTGGACTCGGTGATCGCAATGAACATTACTGTTTTTTACTGATTAACACTAAACTCATTAAATCACAGCGAACGTATTAGTCATGGGCATAGGTTTGCATAGGGACCATAGGGACATGTCCCTACCAAAGTTTTGGCCTGAACTACTTGTCCCTACCAATAAACATGTTTATAGTTAACAATACAGTGTCGTTGCAGCAGTCGCTTCTTTTCTCACAACTTTTATGTTGAAGTTAATATTTTAGATGCTCAGTGTCAGTTCCTCTTATAGTTCCCGCACCCATGTAAATACAATAAATCTATTTGCAGCCCCTTAAATATGTTATTTTGCTTTGTTTTACAATACAGAGAATATCAGCATATCAGATAGAAAAATAAGAGTGGGTTTAACCTCCGTTTACCTCTGCACAATTCTATTTCTTCAAAATAAAAGCACCTCATAAATACACATACAACAGACTATATTTGGTTAAAAAGGCACATATTTACCTTCAGTCTTAGTCACTGGTAAGTTCAAATGTAACCCTTTTCAAAGTGTTAGGTTGTCCCAATTTTATATTATTTTGAGCCACTGATGCTTCAAACATTGATAAACAGCATCTTGTATGTGTAGTGCTTATAAAATTTGTATAAATGTAGCAAAAAATGCTGTTTTCTCTTTAAACTAAATGCGCCCCGATGCTCATGTCAAGCATGAAAAAAAATAGGAGCATGCATAATGCGTAGGACCAATGACATCAGACCAATTCAACTAAAGACCAATAGTGTCCCTACCAAAGTTGAGATCAAACCTACACCCTTGGTATTAGTTGTAGGTATAGATAACGATCTATTGATTATTCCTTGCTGACAAAACTTTTCCTTTAATATTCGGTCTAACTTGCAAACACATTTTTTTCCTTTTTTTTTGCCTTGAGACTGGTGTAACATTTGTTTATCATTTTATTATATTTACCATTTAAATAAAGGAAGAAAAAGGGCTACAGAATCGGCCCCAAGGAATCGGTAGCATATATTGCGCATCATTTAGGCTGATGTTAACATCATCAGTATCATAAAAAAAAAAAATTTAGTGGGCTAGATCTACAGCCCTGCAGCTTTCACTTATATCCGTTCTCTGACGCACTCAGTGGCGGCCCCTGTTGGCTCCTGGTTAGAACTGCTTATCAATGGCCTGAATGGAACCAGCAGCTGTTTAGCAGGGGCTCTGCAGCGCAGCATGACTGGATGATAACGAGGGAATCCAAACCTTTTATCCACATGTGGTGGAGAAGCACATTCTCTCCCTGAGATAATCCCATCAGAGATGCAATCCAAATGAAATGCTGCAAAGTTTGTGGCCACAAACGTACAGAGAAGCTAAACATAAATGAACACTTTAGTAAGATCTTTTATTTTAAAACCAAACAGACTTTTAAATAAAGACGCTTTTAACAGAGCATCACTGTTTAATAATTAAATATTCATCAGTTTGTTTCTGTCTGAGGAGCGTAATGTGTTAAAAGCTGTATGGTAACCCAGAGGGGACACATTGAACTCTGGCTTTACAATGAAACTTTCTTCTTTTTCTTTAGGCTTTTATTTTTTTGTTTTTATGAACTTCATCTACATCCCTTTTGCCCCTCTGCTGTTTTGTGCTCCTGCTTCCTTTTGGGCTCACAGACGCCGGCGCCGCGTTTCCTTCCTTGTAGCCAGAAGTCCCGCAGCAGCGACACGCCTATATTCTCAGCGACGTATGGATGTGTGGGCTCGGATCGTGTCGGAGCACACATCCCTGTTTGCCGTTCTATCTTATGAGGTTGTTTAAGGTCACGCTGAGGCGTGTCCTGTTTGCTTTACTTACCTGCTGCTCCTGTGTTCTTCATCTGAGTTCCTCTTGAATCAAATGACTGAAACTGAATTTGAATTTAACTGCTCCCGTACAAACAAACACTACTTCATCACGATGTCAACATTAAAGCTTATAGAGCAGCAGATCTCGCACGCAGGGGCGGATTCAGGGAATTTGGGGCCCTAGGCAAAGACGGGCAGGGGGCCCTCTGAATTCAGAAGACGACACATCAAACAGACCCATTCTACAGATATAGAAATGTTAATAGAATAGACATCCATTATCTGTTCTAGGTTGTGTCCCTCTCTTCTTGTCCCTTTTCTTCTTGTTTTCCTCTCTATGTTTTGTACTCAGCTGACTTTTCATGCTGTCTCTAAAGGAATGAAAGATTTTTTCCAAGCACTAAGCTCACTTAGCTGATTGCTCCTTCCTGTGTTTCCAAAAAGGCCAAAGTAAATAACCCAGTCCTTCTTTTCACTGTAGACAAGCCATGATCTGCTTCTCTGTTCTCCATTTTTCATTTGGATGAAATAATAGCTGCATGAATCATGACAGCAGACAAGATAGAGGAGAGCAGGAGGCGGGGTTACCAATCTACTCGCTCTGGAGAGCAGAGTTCGCTGCTTTTAGATGTTGTCTCCAAAGTCTCCAGTAGCAGAAAAAGTCTCTAGATTTGGCGCTAGGAGCTTTTTATAAATCAAAGTGCTAGAGGGGTCT